TTTTAGAATAACTCATCATTGAAATGAAGTTGTAAAAGTGTATTATCAATTATTTTCATTTTCATCATTAGATGTGTGCTAATATGTTTGTTATATTCAAGTCCATGTATATGTACTCCTTGTACATTTTTTCTTTTGAACCGTGCGTGCATGCGCAGGTGGAATTAAATTATAAAAAGTTAACAAACTTCTTAAATGCATGACATTTACGTTACACAGTTCTGGACATTGGAAATAATTAAGCTTATAGTGTTGCTGATGTTTTATCGTATGCTAAAAAATATGTATAACATAAAACATGTATTTTAAAAAAATCAGCACAATATAGCCTTTCAGATACTTATACATACAAATCAAATTATATATAATATGAAATATTTTATTGAAAAATTACGATCTCTTCTCTGTAAACAGGTAGACATTGAAGGCGAAAAGGGGCTCGAATAGCCGCCATTTTTTTTTTTTTTTTCGGAAAGTGTACAGTTATCTTGGACGACACATCTCCTACAACATGTACAAGTACAGTGTACAAAACAGCAGTGAAAATAAAAATAATGAACTCAAAGTTTAATTCTCTTCTCTCAATTATTTTTTGAAATATAATTACCAACCAATATATGTTGTTTTTTTTTTTTACCAGAGTGTATACAAAGCGACTTTTCAAGTGGTACATGAAAGCGTTTGACACATGACCAGGTACATAATTGCTTTCTAAGCATGCAAACTCAGACTATCAGGTAGCACAGGTTGCTGCCCTGTCAATCAAATCAGAAGCTATTGTTTTATTTTTGTATGATTGACGGGCGGTATATTATCGATCTTAAGCTAGGTAGATTTTGTGGGCATTAATGGAAAGTTGGGTGTTTAATAAAAGCACATGTACGAGGGTTGTCCAAAAAGTTCGTGGACAAATGCTTAATTTTCTTTATAAAGTCCGCAATGGCAAACATGTACGATAATATCGTAATATAGACCATGATTGAGTAAATGTACAAAAAATTAAAACAATGCACACTATTTACTGAACATTATAGGTGTAAATACTTTGTAACTGCAAGTCGCACGGGCCAGTCTGACGTAACGCTTATTTCATGATAACGTCAGAAATATAAATTTTGAATTTTTATCGCATGTTCATAGACGCACGCTATTTTTCTTTATTATGCCACAATACTAAATGTGTGCAATAATATTTATGTATAGATTATAAGTAATTTAAATTTTAAAAATAGAAACAATGCACAATAATTTACGAGCGTCATCAATATTAACACTACGTAAGCACAGGATGCACAGGCCAGCCCGACGGCACTATATTTATAACAACATCATGAATAGGAATATATCCTATTTTCATCAAATAACAGTGGTTTTCCACTTCTTGTAGTGTCTCCGAAATTTTACACACCATTGAAAAATCATATACACCAATTACAAATCACTAGACTAAATATTTTCCAATAAATTTAAGTTGTTTGAATAAATATTTTGTTTTTGACGATGTTTCGACCATATTAACCTTAATTGTATGATTGGACGCTGTCCAGTTCAGATGGCCGATGTCGCTTTTTCTGTCAATTTTTGAAACATACTTCTTGCGGTTTTCACTTAATATTTTCATTGTCTATTTAGCTAGCGATATTAAAGGTATCAGAAAATGGCGATAACCGCTTTATTTGTGATATATTAAATTTTTATTCAACTTTGACTCGTTTTAAAAAGAAAATTTTGGACAACCCTCGTACTTGCCATATGCTGGAGTTACAAAACCTTGTGTGTCAAGTTAGAATTATCTGCAGAATTAACCACACAAAATGAATCTACGAAATTAAACACACAATAACACATAATTGAGAAATAAATCGTTTATTAAATACATGTACATGTATGCAGTTTTAAGATTAGGATTCATGAAATCGGGGACCTTTATACGCCCTTAATAAAATATTTTGGATTTAAATTAAATCAAATTAAGATAAGATTAAATGATTTAATTGAATGATTCGATATGATTTAAAAAATAATTTTCCGTAAATCATTGTGTTAGCAAAATGAAAAAAGAACGACAATGTTTTGTTTTTCAAATTTAATATAGTGTATGTTTCAACATTAAACGATGAAAAGATGTTTTGTTTACGAATGCAGGTCATTGGTTCACACGCAGTGGATCTCTTGTGATTTCCGCCACAATAATTTAATAAGTATATCACCAATTTGACCAACATAGATAAGATGAGATAATTTGAAAGATCCGATATGATTAAAAAACACAATTATCCGTGCATCGTTGAGTTTGCAACATAGATTTAGAACGGCAATGCCTGTTTAGTGTATGGCCACTGATCACTGGATCTAGGTCACGCGTGATCGGGGGATGGCCGGTTATGTAAATATAAACAAAAACAAATCTCGAGACGTATTGAAAATGTGTGACTCAATAATTTGGAATGAAGTCACAGAACACGTAAAAACTTATTTCAAAGTAATATTAGTATTTATTTTGGATAGGTTTATCATTTATAGCAAGTTTATTTCATTTATGTGCATAAAGATTTCACCTTCACTTGTCTGATGTAACTAGTTACCTGTATATGGGTCAAGCTTCTAGCTCATTTATTAAACAAGACTCGAACAAAATAACAAGTTCATGAGATCAATAATATGTTAAAGAACAACTTTTAAGCGACAGCTATGTCGAAATATTTACCGTTTTTGAGTTATAAAATGAAAACTTTCAAGGACCCTAGATCCCTAATTTAAGGGACCAGCCCCTTTTTGGTGGTGCCAAATGAAAGACCTTAAAATTGTGCACAACTTTTATTCAACATGTCTTAACAAAATATTTTTATTTTAAAAGGTACATAGGAAAATATGAGTAAATTTTTGTGCTTTTAGGCGTTCTAATTTTTGACCCCTATCTAGCGCCATTTTGAACGCAGAAATCAAAAAACAAAAATAGATGTGCACAACTTCAATGCCTCTATTATTCAAATTCAGTAGTATTTCTGCTCCAGCTTTTTTAGACTCTGAGCCTTTGTCTGGAAACGAAACCCCCAAAATTTTCATTTAAAGGGAAATAATTCCAAAGTGGAAGGGGACTTTTTAAATGTATGACAGCATTCTGATAGAGTTTTGTAACGTCTATAAATTCTGAAAATTTGAGCAAAATCCGTTGAGAAATGAGTGAGATATGAGGTCTCAAAGTTGGCGTCTAGAAAGGAGAAGAAAAAAAAAAGAAAATCTTAACCATCAGAATCAGTAGAAGGTCTTCCGTTGTGATGGAAGACCTTAATAACAAAGAGATTTGTGAAGAGATGGCTATCATCTGGGAGGACCAAACATATCAAAGGTCACACAGTAAGTCTAGCCCTATCAAGACCATGAAATGGAGCCATGAAAGAAATAAAGCATCCATCCATTCAGAATTGATTAATGAAATGTCAAATAAATCAATCAGTAAAATTAGATCATTTTCTCTCTTTTTTTGAGGGGCAAGTGAATTTTGAAACTGGACAAGTGGATTCCCAGTCAGTACTTGCCGTGGGCAAGTGGCTTTAAAAAAAAAATCTAGACCCCTGAATAGTATGAATGGATGTAGTTTAAAGCTTTCCAATAGTTTAAAATAGGAAATAATTTCATTTTGTGGTAATTTGAAGAACTGATATTTTTGTGTGATGTCAGAGTAAAAATTTCCTGAATAAATTAGACCCCACCTCCTTTTTGTAGCCTTCATTGTGCTGTGTTTGACTTGCGTTTGAGAAACATTTATGTTTGCCATGAGCTTCCATACAGGGGCATCAGTATTTCACAAACACATCTTGGTTTTTTTTTTTAAACAATGTTTTCAACCAGATGGTGTCTTAACTTTTGGTTCATGAAAGTCCCATGGAATCACAGAGGCAAAATGTTATTTGTGTATGTCTTCTCTCTGGCAGTTTATTAGTTCAAATTGTTATTTTATTTTATTATTTTAGTAGCTCCAATCCACAAAATACATGTACGCATATCCAAGAATTGGTCTTAAAGCTATATTAGTTATATCTGCTAAATCAAAAAGAAAAAAATTTCTGCATCAGATCTTGTGAAAATTATAGACAGAAAAAACTTTTTGGTGATTTAGAATTCAAATTGTCCTCAACAAAATCATTGTATTCTCTGGGCCAAGAAATCAAAGTTCTCATAGTCCTGTAAGCTGGGTTCATTAAAAAAAAAATTATAATGATAAGGGCTTCAGTGACTTCTTAAAGAAAACAATTTCAAAAATTTTATGAAAAAAAAAAAAATAAATATATCAATTTTTATTAGGAACTTTATACCGTGCGCTGAATTAATCATGATCAAAGTTAACCTGACACCACCAAGAGTAAACAAACAGATTAGCCTGGTTTTCTGTCCCTGTTTTTCTTTGTCTCTGTAGAGAGCCAGGCTAGGACAGGTACATGTAGTGCAGGTTTCAGTTTGTTCAAATCATGGTCCCAAGAGATAGAGATTGTGGGGTTTTGGGGGGGCAACAATAGGGGATCAAAGTTTAACATGGGAATATATATGGGAAAATCTTTTTAAAAAATGTTCTGATCAAGAACGGCTAGGTCATGATTATTCATATTCATTTGCAAGCATCCTCGGGTAGTACATATTCATTTCTATTACGGCAAGGAGGGGCTACAAAAAGGAATCAAAGTTTCAATTTGGAATGTATAAGAAATTCAAGGAGCAAGCATCCTCAGCCAGATTCAAGTTTTCAGATCATGGCTTCCAGGGGTAGGGTGGGGCCATATAAGGAGATCAAATATTTACATTGGAGTAAACATGTAATTGCAAGGCCATGTTTGTCATATTGATATTGAAGCATCCCCATGGGTGTGGATTCAGAGACCCCTTATAGTTAGGGTGGGGCCATAAAATGGGGTCCCAGTCGTTTACTCTTGTTAATTGAATAAATTTTAATGTATTATTACCATTAATTGTTGTTAACATACAATAAATACTGATTTCTGTAGGCTTGCATTAGAAAGAGCTAATACAGCCAGAGATGCAGTAGTGGTGATTACTAAACTTCTATCACAGTATGGCCAAGGGGGTGCAGGATGTGAAGAGACTGGATCACAGAAATGGGGTCATCATAATAGCTTCCTGATTGCAGATAAAGAGGAGGGATGGATCTTAGAAACAGCAAGAAATTATTGGGTGGCCAAAGTTATCAAAGGTCTGTCTTATGTTTGCTCAGGAATTAAGAAATATGATAGAAAAATAGAATTGTCAATTTTCATTATATCGCGGGTTCCATTGTATCACGGTATATTCCAGAAATTCGGATATATAGCTTACATCCTTTTTGTTGATGGACTATCTGTCTGTCGTCCGGCAAAATTGGTTACTTATTTTTTGCGTAAAAAAGTCTTTTGTATGTTTAATTCACAAACGGTAAGAGTCCTGATACTCTAAATACAGTTGTGAAAAACTGTATTGTTACACTTCAGTTTTATACAGAATATCAGGGCTCTAATTGGCAGAAGGGGCACTAGACACTCTCCACCCATGACTTCCCCATTATGGGTCCCTACATTGATATTAACAGTACTATTAACTTTTAAAGTTGGCACCTAAAAAAATTGCCTGACAAAAAAAAATTTGCATTGGAGACTAAATTTTTTAAAGTAAGGCACCAGTTGATGCCTAAATTGTAGAGGTCATTTAGAGGCTTGAATATGTTTTATTCAATATTATATAGTGGAGAGCTTATATAATTGACCGAAAATCCAGCTACAACGGTTGTTCAGAGAGTTCGCGGACCACATCAATCTTCACTATACCTTCTTCAAGAAATTTAAAATGAGCACATTATTATACTGTATGTGTACTTAAAGAAGCAGGCTTCATATTTTAGCAGCTTTGGTGCAGACAACAATGCGCTAATTCATGAATACCGCCAAGAAATCATTTATAAATACAATATATGGCACAGACATGTATAGCGCCAATTCATGATTTCGCCAACAACTCCCAGTGGTTGCGCTAAATTTTGAATACGCCAATTTATGTACATGTACAGTATGTTAAAATATTTATTATACCCACGCAACAAGTTGCGTGAGGTATAATGTTTTTGACCCGTCCGTCAGTCAGTCAGTCAGTGTGTCAGTCAGTCAGTCAGTCAGTCAGTCCGTCAGTCCTGTTTTTTTGTCAGCGCAACTCCTCATAAACCGCTGCACAGAATTTCGTCAAACTTTGCAGATATTTAGGACACAATGTGTAGATGTGCATATTACCAGGAAATTCCGATTCCTTTATTTTTTCTCGGAATTTCGGCACTTTTCAACTTAGATTTTTGGCCATATCTTGAATATGGAGATGAACAGTTTGTCAGCGCAACTCCTCATAAACCAATGCACAGAATTTGGTCAGACTTTGCAGATATTTAGCACACAATGTATAGATGTGCATATTACCAGGAAATTCCGATTCCTTTATATTTTCTGGGAATTTCGGCACTTTTCAACTTAGGTTTTTGGCCATATCTTCAATATAAAGATGAACAGTTTGTCAGCACAACTCCTCTTAAACCGCTGCACAGAATTTGGTCAAACTTTGCAGATATTTAGCACACAATGTATAGATGTGCATATTACCAGGAAATTCCGATTCCTTTATATTTTCTGGGAATTTCGGCACTTTTCAACTTAGGTTTTTGGCCATATCTTCAATATAAAGATGAACAGTTTGTCAGCACAACTCCTCTTAAACCGCTGCACAGAATTTGGTCAAACTTTGCAGATATTTAGGACACAATGTGTAGATGTGCATATTACCAGGAAATTCCGATTCCATTATTTTTCTGGGAATTTCAGCACTTTTCAACTTGGATTTTTGGCCATATCTTGAATATAGAGATGAACAGTTTGTCAGCGCAACTCCTCTTAAACCGCTGCACAGAATTTCGTCAAACTTTGCAGATATTTAGTACACAGTGTGTAGATGTGCATATTACCAGGAAATTCCGATTCCTATTTTTCTGGGAATTTCGGCACTTTTCAACTTAGGTTTTTGGCCATATCTTGAATATAGAGGTGAACAGTTTGTCAGCGCAACTCCTATTAAACCGCTGCATAGAATTTAGTCAAACTTTGCAGATATTTAGCACACAATGTATAGATGTGCATATTACCAGGAAATTCCGATTCCTTTATATTTTCTTGGAATTTCGGCACTTTTCAACTTAGATTTTTGGCCATATCTTCAATATAAAGAACAGTTTGTCAGCACAACTCCTCTTAAACCGCTGCACAGAATTTGGTCAATCTCTGCAGATATTTAGTACACAGTGTGTAGATGTGCATATTACCAGGAAATTCTGATTCCATTATTTTTTCTGGGAATTTCGGCACTTTTCAACTTAGGTTTTTGGCCATATCTTGAATATAGAGATGAACAGTTTGTCAGCACAACTCCTCTTAAACCGCTGCACAGAATTTGGACAAACTTTGCAGATATTTAGTACACAGTGTGTAGATGTGCATATTACCAGGAAATTCCGATTCCATTATTTTTGCCTTAAGAGTTTTGCCTTTTATTGAAGAAACTTTCCAGCTAGGTAATAAGAAACTCCACTGGAATCAGCTTTTTATAATGAAATTCTATGTGAAATATTTTATGACCTTAAAAGACCCCTATTGATTTTGAGATCAAAATATTAATGGTTTAACACAAACACACACTCACACACACACCATCTTCGATAGTTCTCTCCCCCCCCCCCCCCCCCCCCCCCTTCAAATTGGTGTGCTTTGCTTTAAATAATTTCATAAGTACAGTATATAAACAGATTCATATGACTACATCATAATTTTGTTTCCATCAATTATTTAAATGTGTAAACTGTCATGTGTTGGACATGGACTTACACTCATTAACAAATCGAAATCACTGAGGAATTTAAATAACAGTTTGTCAGCATAATTCCGGCACTGAATTTCCTGAAACTTTGTAGGTATTTCAGAATAATGTATAGATTTGTATATTACCAAGAAATTTTGATTCCATTGTTTATCTAGAAACTTCAGCCCAGTTAAATTTGTAACATACAAAGATTTGAATGTCCTTATATGCAAGAAGTTTTGATGTGATGATTTTTTGCAAGTAATGCCCCTTTTTTGAATTATACTGTGTATTTAAAATGCACTGTGCCATTCATTACGTGTTGCATTGTCGAGTTTTGGGGAAGCGTGGGGTATGTGAGCTTGCTCACTTTTTCTTTCATTTTGTTGATGTGTGGAGTTTCATTCCTTGTGATTTAATAGAAATCATGTTATTTAATTTTCAAATCAACATGTCTGATAACCACGGAGCAAACTCAACGACATTGTAACGTCAAAAACCTAACGTCATGAGGTTCTAAAAAAATACTCTCCTATACATTTCACACAGTATGGCCCAATACCAGAGCACTTACTAAAAACGTTTCTTTATCACTTGAAATTTATTTTGCTAACATTTGTTTCAGTATCATAATTTTGTTTGACAAATGTTATATTTTTTTATTGCATACATGTAACTGCTTTCACAAGATCAGCAACTGTGAAGCGCCTGACTCTCACCATGACCTTACTAACTTTTTAAAGTTTTACAAGAGATTTTTTACAGATAATCCATTCCCTCACACGTCCTCGTCTGATACAGAGTCTCTATCATCCAATTCTGCCTGTCCCATGTACTGTATATACTCGCCTATAAGTCGGTCTGCATATAAGTCGGTTGTATTTTTTTTAGGTTATTTTGGAGGGATTTGCCATTGACCCACTTATAAGTTGGTACAACTTTTTGGCAGAATCAGTTGACAACTTCAAATCAATACTCTAATGTTTTAACCTGGTTTTGATTAATATTTTTAGAAATGATGCCGATATTGAATTTTAAATCATTATGAAAAATACATAATGCACACTTAAGATAAAAATAAAGTTATTAAAATAAGTGACTTTATGTATGATATTAAAATACATAAATATGATATATCCAAACTTTGTTCAACGATAATCATGGGAAGTGTTTATAAAATACTACATTTTGCCGTCCAGAAAAATACTAATCTTTTTATGACTCGCCTGTAAGTCCAACATAGAGTTTTGGACCAAAATTTAACTCCCAAAAAACCGACTTATATGCGAGTATATACGGTACACACACATACATGGCTCGCTGTTGACACATTATCTACTTCCCCCAGCATTTTCATAGTTTTTACTGGAGTTTTCCAGAGTACAACACAAAATTGTATCTTTAACTGCTGCTCCGTGATGTTCTACGGCGTCATCTTTTATGCCTTTTTCAATGAGGACTGCCTATATCTTCTGAAATTGATTTCTTTTCAATGAAGCAAAATATTCAGTCATAATTTGGAATATGAAATGAAATAACAACTAGTTCTTAATTCTAGCTGGATTTTTCTGTTTTTGTGCAATTTTACAGAGGATATGATTACAGACATTATTAGTGTATTGATTGTAAATTACGAAATTTTGACCTGCGATGTGATCCGATTTTCGCATTTTTTAATTCTAAATAAGTTTGAAATAAATCACAATATTTTTAAAAAAAATTTTATACACATCATTTGAATATTTTGTTGAAACATTTCTACCAAATTTGGACATAATATGACATTAAGTAAAAAAAGTTATGACAGTAGTCCCTGAACTTTCTGAACAACCCTCATATATCATATAAATAAAATCTTTTATGAATGCCTGTGATAACATAACCAGTCATGAACCATGCTTATTAACCAAGCAAAAAAAAATATGGAATTGCTGATTTACAGTACCATTTTAACAGACTTACTCTACCTCATTGCAAATTTTCTTTGAAATATTTTTTCAAAGAAGCCTTTGACAGCACCTTTTCAATGTTCTCATGTGGACAAAAGGCACAACTTTTCAGTATGCTAAACATTCAAGATTCTGATGTCAGTTTTGGAGTTATAACGTCATAGAAATAAGAAAGTGACTTCAACATAAGTGCAAATTTTCAAGCTCTTTTCAATGGTATCAAACTTATTAACTTATATGAAATGGTTTATATTTAAGCAAGCAGTTCTCAGAACTTTTCAAATGCCCCTCGTACAGATATATATATATATATATATATATATATATATATATATATATATATATATATATATATAATTTCAAAAACAAAATGAAGAACCGG